ACTGGGGCAGAGGGAGGGGAACAGAGAGCAGAAGGCACGTACGGGCACTGCAAGAAGTGTTTGCAGCGAGGCATGCATGTCGGACAAGGAGCTGAGCGGAGGGAGCGTTGCCAAGGCTTTCCCACACCTCGGCGCTGGGAGGAAGGGATGGCGACGTGCCCTTTGGCTGGCTGCCCTCGTGCCGTGCAGCTGTCAGGGGAAGAGATGTCAGCATGGGGAAGGGACGGTGGGGTAAAACCTGTTGTTGGACAGCCCAGAGCATGCCTGCCAGAGGGGACTGAGGTATCGACCTACCGGCTATTCGAGGAGTGAGCATCTCCCCCATGCGTGCTACCTGCAGGTCTTGTGTAAGAGTGCAATACTTCATGAGTGGTCCCCCAGGCAAAGTAGGGTAAAGGAGGTGTATCAGTATCTCTGAGGCAGTGTTGTGGAGAAAATTGCAGAGAGGTTACTGCTATCATGTCTTCAAAGCAAACCCTTCTGGGGCATTAAGGGAAGATGGGGTGTTGCAGAGAGTAATAGCTGCGCAGCATGTAAAGGTGAGCTGGGATTATTGCTAGAAGGTCCCTGAAGCAAGTAGCAGTGCTCTGCTAAAACATGGCTGCCATGCACTTGGGTGCTCCCTGGGTTTTGGGTGACTGTGCTGAGTAATAATATGCATGGTTTTAGGAATGCAATGGTTTTATCCCAGTGCTCTGAGGCAGGTGAGCCTGCAGTTTTAAACTGTTTTCCCTTCTGGCTGGCCATTCACCTGACCCGTGTATTCTGATGGACTCTTACCTTCACTGCTCCGGGCCCCCGCTAGAGCGGGCAGGCCCCGTGCTCACGTCTTTTGCAGGTCCGTGGCATGAAGCACTGGGGTGCTATGAAGCTTGTGGGAAGGTCACATGAATCTGAGGAGTCGTGGGCAACAGGGGATATTCTCCTGTGGGTAACGGGGAGCCCTGGCAGTGCTCCACAACAGTCCCGTGTTCTGACAGCAGGAACAGCATACAAGTCAGCCTGCTACCGTAGTAGCGAGGCGATGGGTGGGGGCCACATTTGGCCCGTTTTTTTTTGTGGGGAGGAATCGTGGGAAGCGGGAAATGGTTTTTCTCTGTGGCAATGCAGGTTATTTCCAAATCAGCTGGACCTTGCTACATGGGGGGAGCTGATCTTGCTGGGATGTGCCCCATCTTCAAGCAAGCCTGTCTTTGAGCATCACCTTTTTAGCCACAAAGCACCATGAATGTGTGTATCGGTGCAGCCAGCAATGCAGACCTGTGTTCCCTGGGCTCCTCGCTGGCCCCAGCTGGCCTGGGACACAGGTGGCCACAGCAGCAGGAGCAGGAGGAGAGCTGCAAAGCTGAAGACCACCTCGTGACGTTGCTGCGGTCCCCTGCAGAGGCCTGTGTGCCAGCCCTGGCCTCCGAGCCCCAGACTGGCCAGTCGCCAAAGCACGAGTCTCCCACGGCCAAGTTGACGCCGGGGCGGCAGGGGTAAGCTGGTGCACCAGGTCTGGTGATGTTTTGCCCATGGCTCACAGCAGAGCTGGGCACCCGCACTTGGGGCACGGGTGGTTTTGAACGTTAATCCTCTGAGCGCTGCTGCATCCGTACCCCTCAACGATGCAAGCAGGCTCTTGGGTGTATCAAGGTACCGCAGGCACAGTTGGGCATTTCCTGAGTGGATACGTTCCGTATGTGGTGGAGGGTTGAAAGGGTGTGTTGAAAACCAGTGTGTTCACCGCAAAGGGAGAGAGGAGGGAATGGACAAGTTCAAGAGGTGCGTTTGCAGTTGTAGAGACTGGGTTTCTTCTTTTGCATCCTGAAGAGCAAAAGGCAACAGGACGCTGCTGGGCAGCACAGCCAGAGAGCTGGCCCACAAGTGTCCTCGGGTCTACGCCAGGACAGCCGGGCAGCAGCCCACCAGCAGGACCCTGCAGAGGTAGGTCTGCCAAACGGGGGACAGGTTTTGTCTGTCTGAACCTTGGTTTTTGTTGGTGGAGTTGCCCGTATCCAAGCAAAAGATAGTTGGTGTGGATTTGTGCATAGCGCCAACAAAATAAAAAAGGCGTCTCCCTCTGCAATCTGCTCAAACTGGGGCTGGGGGAGTGCCTGTCCGTTTGGGACACGGGCGCATGAAAGCTCTCTTGGCAGCGAGGGCGGTTTTAAGTCCTGCCTCTCTGGGCATTTGCCTCGCAGGTGCATGCCAAGTTGGGGCTGTGGCTTGGCCAGCTTCGTGCAGCACAGGGAGGCTGGGAAGGTTTCTGGGCAGTGACCCTTCCCAGCATTGCACTTAATACTGGGAGAGCCAGAAGTAATGCTGTGTTTATTGAGGGCAGTTCTGAAAATTAAACTGTAAAATTAACTTTATGACTCTCACAAGCTGCTTCTTGCTAAAGAGCTGTCCCCTTGCCCCTTTGCTGCAACAAATAAAGTTGTTGCTTTTCCCCAAAGCAACAAAAAAAAAAAATTCCCATCCTCTGGTGTGCTTGGGGCTGAGACAAGTTCAGCAGCTAGCTCGGTCACCGCAGAGCTCTTCTACCAAGGCTGGCGTGAGCTGAGGACGTGCCTGGTGTTGGGGCAGCGCAGGACCTGCTCTTGTCCTGTCGCTTTGGGGTAGGAGAAAACGGTGAGAAGGAAAACTCTTACCTTCTCACAAAGCCACTCGGAACCATGGCTGCAGTACATCTGTTGGAGAAGAACTGCTCCAGCAGCACCTACAGCTCTCTCCTTATGCCCAGCTTCCCTCCCTTCTGTTCCAGCCAGGCCACTGCCAGCTGGCACAAGCAAACAGCTTTCTTCTCCCAGCCCTGTGCTGACTCGTCTCCTTGTGCGTGTCTGCAAAGGGGTTTGGGCCGTAACCCTCGCGAGTGCCTGTGTGCTGATGCTGCCGAATGGGGTAAGGGAGAATGGAATTCATCCTTTACAGTGGGAAGGAAGGAGTGCGGGTGGGAGGAGGAGAAGCCAGTGGAAGGTGAGGCTTAGATTTATTGCCCTGGGTTGACAATGCCACAGCACTTTGGTCCCCATCTTACATTCTTGCCCCTTGATGTGTCTCATACTGTTGGAAGCCAACTAAAATAAGCTGTAGTCTCAAAAAACTCCACTGTTTTGTGCTGCGCAGGCCAGTATCGTCAGAAGAGTTATGAGAGCCCTGGCTCACCTCTCTCTGACTGCGTACACAGCCGGAGCTCTTAGCAACTGCTCCCTTCAGGATAAGCTGGATCATTTTAACTGCTGCTCACACGCAGCATGCGCAAGCGCACACAAAGAGTCCCTTCTGTGCAGAAACCGCGGGTGCCTGGCTTGGCTGTCAAGGGGTGTGAAAATTACCTGGCTCTGATCTTTCCCGTGCTCATGTTGTTGTATCTAGTGTTTGAAATCCGGGCGGTTATTTTTATTTAGAGCATTACGCTGTGTAGTTCAACTGGAAAAGATGTATGCCTTGAAGTGGGTTTGAAGTAGTAAGCACTGGCATCATGGAAATCCTGCAGCGAGGGGGTATTGTGCCAGGTGAAGCCCCGAGACTGCATGGCAGCCTGGCTGGAGAAAAGTAAGCAGTGGGAAGAGAGGAAAGGTCAGGGACTGGTTATACCATAAGGATGGCTGGAAGGGAAGGAAGGCGCGCTCCCCTTTGAGACATGCGGCCTCGGGAGCTGGTTTCCAGGACACGGGCAGGAAGACAGCTGAAACCAAGAAAAGTTTGGCACGGTGGGCTGTGCACAACAAAAAGGATGGCACCTCAGAAGACATGAGGCAGGAGGGGCCAGCTCTTCCTGAAGCGCATGAGATCAGAGCCAGCCGGGAAGAAGGCGACATTACAGAACAGAATATATTCTGTAACGTGAGCTTACAGGAAAGAGCACAAATGAAATCTGTACTAACCTTTTCATTATCAAACGTGATTTTTCAGTGGAAGGGATGTCAGGCAAGCAGGAATCTACAGCCAGTCTGGGTATGAGAAACTTGACTCTTCATTGGGGTGTTCCGACTATCACAAAGGAGATGGCTACAAGACAGGCGAGATGAAGCAGTGTCCCAGCCAGGCACCGAGTGGCCCGTACTCACCCTGGAAGGGGAACAGCCTGGTGACTGAGGACGGAGCGAGGAGCACCACAGCTGGGGCTAAAGCCAGAACTGCCGAAGAGGCAAGGAGTTTGTTGTGCAACTCCCCTGGCACCCCAGCTACCCAGCACCCCTAAAGCCACCTTCTCACAGGCCTGGCACAGAGCAGCTCCCTTGCAGCCTCCGGTAAAACTGATTCTGGACTTGGGTGAAAAGCACAAAAGAAGACTCAGAATCCAGGACAACTTTCTTTATTGCTACCAGAAGGCTTTCATCAGTACAATGGCTCCAAATACAATACCTTCCTCAGGGCTGTGGAGAGAGCTTATAATTGGGACAGGTCATTCTGAGAAACAGAGGTGTAACATTTAAGAGACAGGTTTTTAAAGGTTTTACTCTTGGTTAGAAGTTACATGAACACAAAACTTCAGGGTTAGGGTCTTTTGGTTTGGTTTTGTGGCTGATAATTACACACCTTTCAAGCCTCAGGCATATGTAGCCGCCCCAGCACCTCACTGAGCAGTGCTGGTCACATGCTAAGCTTATAAACACATGGGAAAAAAACAGACTGCAGAATTTAAGGTTTACACTTGACGTAGAGTCAAGCGTTGGCGAAAATCCACACTGAGTGCAACATTTCTTGGTGCAAACGAGAAAAAAAGATACCGTTTTTGTTCAAGTGATACAAAATCCGTTAACTGCTTTCTGTGTTGGAAAACACAAACTGTTTTAAATTGGAGAAGTCTCTGTAAGGTACAGAGCATAGTGGCTGGCTGCCCTAGTGTTCTTCTAGAGTACGTTCACACACCTGTGGTTATTACTTAAGTGTGGAGCAGCTTGCAAGCATTGTTTTTGGTTTTTTTTCCTGACTAACGTTTTATTTAAATCCAGTTTTTAAATATTGTCACATTTAAACACCAAAGTGCTAACGAAACAAAAAAGGTCTTTTTCTTTAGAAAGGAAAAAGAAGGCTGTTGTGAAGGCCAGGTAGTACAGAACATCATGCACAAGACTTGCTGAGAATTAAAAGAGGAGCAAGCAGAAGGAGAGCAAGGAGCAGATGGAAATCGGATCAGAGAGGTGTTAGTTGGCTGGGAAACCTGGAACAACTCTGCACGACTGATGTGAGCTCTTGGACACGGAGAATGGGTTACAATACACAGGAGCAGAAAAACAGTGGAACTGACAACACTAGAAAGAAACAATTTTTTGCTACTTTTTTTGTTTGGTTTTTGGGTCTTTTTTTAGATTTTTATACTTTTTTGTGTTTTTAAGTGCTTAAATAGTGGAACTATAATTAGCCGCACAAGAAAAAAATTCAAAAAAGGGTTGGGATTTTTTTTTTTCTGTTTTTTGGCTCCCTTCAGTTCAGCCTGACAAGGTATGGCCCCTTCTCCCCCCACTGAGAACACAGGGTGCCAGGTTCTGCATGGTTTCTAGAGTAGCTACGGTGGAGCTGGTGGTGTGCACTCACAGCTACATAACAGACACTGGCTGTAAAGGTGGACAAGGGGAAACATTGCCCTCCTGCCTCGAGACATCAGCGCCACAAACAGAACCCATGTTTTCAAGAGCCACTACCTCTGGAGCAATGTCTTCATTGTAGAGACGCTTGATACCGTCGTAGAAGTCGTCCACTTCCATCTCTTCCACTTTACGCTTGGCAGAGGCTTGCTTGCAACCGCTGGGAGCTGGCAGACGCTGGTAGAGCGCGGCTGTACCTGTGACTGGCACTTCTGGCCTGCCGTTGTCCTTGGAGAAACCTGGCCCTGGGACAGAGGAGGGCTGGCATTTGAACGCTCCTCTGTTACAGGTCACCAGGGTATGCTGGAGGGGACTGTAGACATATACAGAATTGGGCAGCAGAGAAGACTGCAGAGTGGAAAGGTGATGTGCCACGAGCTCCCGGCAGTGGATCAGCTGCGAGCTATCCATCTGGAGTGGGAAAACAAGCAAAGATAGCGGCATTGTGGGATCACTGCCATGGCAAGGAAAGGCTGTCAGCCAGGGCAGGGCTAGGGCTCTGAACACAAACCTCACTTCTCAGGGGTACGCTGGATGCAGGAGAATATAAGTGATGAAGGACCAAAAAGACGCCCAACACAACGACTTCATAAGATATGGACCCTTGCTCCTTACACCTCACGGGAATAGTGGGGGGAAAAACCTTTTGGATATTAAAAGGTTTCACTGCGTATTTTTAGCAGCTTGAGTGTTTGTCTTGCCAGTACTTGTCAGACCACCCCGTACACTTAGAATGAATGGCTGGGCAGCTAACTAGGATTTTCTCCCCAGTGTGTTATTTTCTCCCTGGTGCAGAGAGAGCCTGCACACATCGGGGCACGCGGCTCCTCCCTTTGTCACCTACTGCATACAGTCAAGATCAAGACTTCGCCGAACCGTCCCAACAAACCGTCCCACTGGGCTGAAGCGCAACCATCCTCACAAAAGCGTAACTGCAGGCAGAGATCGGCAGCTAGGGATCTGCAAGCCCCGGTTGGCTTGGATCCCTGGAGTCCTGAGCAAGATGCAGCTTTCTGGGGCCCCCCCCATTCCCTCCCCGCTGCAACGTGCGGTGCCAGCACCCCCTCACCTGTGCCTTCTGGAGCAGCTCGATGATGAGAGCCAGCCAGTCGGGGAGCAGCTTCTCCAGCTCCAGGCTGACGATGGCCAGCGCCAGCATGGAGCCCTTGAACTGCAGCAGCTGGTAACAGGCCATGCAGTGCAGCAGCTGCTTGGTGAGCGCCGCCACGTGCTGAGAGGGACTCAGCTTGGGCAGGATGGTCAGTAGCTGAGGCCTGTTGGACACCGCAACTGCATGGAACTGGGAGGGGGGAAACAAGCACGTGAGGCAGCTGGTGTCACTGATGGGCAATCCCACAGGCAAAGCCAGGTCAGACCTCAAGAATGGCATGCGACATCTTTGATGCACGAGGATCCTCCAGCTTAATCTTTGAGGCAATTGCCACACCACAGGAAAAAACCCAATGCGTTGAACCCACCAACAGCTTGGTGCAGCCTTTCTGGCGGGGCCTGCCATCGTACACATCATCTGCCTGGGGACCAGGCTTGTTGGGGCTCCGCAAAAGGCTATCCCCTTCCACCCTTCTCTCTCACCGACACAGGTTTGTCAGTGGAGGTGTCCTAGGCAAAAACTCCTTCTCCAACAAACAGAGAGGAGGAAATTCAACAAAGAACCTCAGGACACTTTCCTTCCCTTTGTCTTATCTCATCCATGAATCTGGTTCTCTGGCCGTGCCTTTCTGTAGCAAGTGCTTTCTCCTTGATTTTATTTTCTGTTTTTGTGCTGCCTGGCACTTAGCTTTGAGCAAAACCACTAGCAATTAAGACTTAGGGCCAAGGTTTTTGGGAGCTGCAAGTCTTGGTGTGCAGCTTAACACGCCTCAAAACAGGCCAGATGGTCAGATGGCAGGCCCACGTTTTGGAAATTATGCCCAAAGTGTCACAAGTCTCCTCCGAGATTCTCTGGCAAGGCTTTTTCTTTCAGAAACTACTTGTATGGAGGGATCGCGAACACATCCTGAGGCCTTCACTCCCTTATGGGCAAAGTTTTTGTCTAGGTAGCCCTCGATCCATTATTTACACCGACAGACACCAAAAAGAATGTAAATAGCCCCTACTTACAATATGAAGGAAATCCAGTGGCGTTGCCATGTGAAGATCCCAGTTCAGTTTATCCAGGATAATCTTCTCCATTCTGCGAATTTCAGCTGGAGAACAACCACAAAAGCTATCCCTAGCCAACACCTTCAGTACTGGAATCCTCTGTAAAAGCCAACGCAAAAAAACAAGAGAACAAATCTCTACAGAAATCGCACAAAACGCTCCATTCCTGTTCTGGCAAGTGCCAGCCACCACGCACAAGCAAAGGCAGGACTGGGAGAGGATATATTCAGACAATGCTAAGGTAGTAAGAACAAAAAAAATTACCTCATCTTCCTCGATGGTCTTTGCAGCGAGGAAGAAGCAGCTGATTGCAATACAGTTCAAGTACTTCGGACGGGCCTAGGGTACAGAAGAGCAGAGAATTCTCTGTGTGAATGTGATGCAAAAATTATGCATAATCCTTTCTGGTCGGACATCCTGAGCCCCAGGGTCTCAGCTGCCCATGCAACGCTTTCAGGATCAGCGGGCTGACCTCTAGCTATGCCATGGCGGTGGCAAGCTGTGCCAAGCAAAAGTCCATACTCTGTGACGTAAGGCAGAAGAGCAATCTGCCAGCCCTGTGATCGTAATTGGCACCCAGTGATGTGCAGCGCTGGAGCGGAGAGAGCTCATTTTTAGGCAGTGCAGTAGAAACAGGAAGGAGAAAATCAGAAGGGCCAGACAGTCACCTGGCAAAAAACCACTGCCACTCCACCTGCTTCAGCAGAGCTCTGGTCTTAGTGCTGCTGGCGGTCAGACACAGGATAGGAAGGAAAAGAAGAGAACTTAAAAATGCTGTCCTTGCCTAGGGAAGTATAAAACACCCCCAAAAATCACCACTCATGTGATTTCACACGGCAGTTCTCAAAACTGTGGCCCAGGGATTATCGAGGGAGAGCTGGTCCCTTCTGCAGTGAGTTGCTTTAGGCAAGGTAAGTGAAATTTGGAGGGAAAAGGGGATGTTTTTCACGTGCATCAAAAAACTCCTTTTATGGGCCTCAGCTCAGGGGGGTGAGGGGGAAGCAGTATGCATGGGCTCAAAGTATTCAGACAGTCCCTGTCATGGACCAGATTGAGCACACGCTCTGAATATGGCGTATGTGCTGGAGTTTTTGCTTAGCAGCGATCTTTGTCAATTGGACTGTCTGACAAAGGACTTCCCTTCCAACATCAGAGTAATAACCACAGGATGTGTCCACCTGCTCCTTAGGGGGCTAGGAAATGCAGAGGCACTGTTTCTAAACCTTGTCACAGCCGAGTGAGTAGACAGCTGCAGAGCCATGCCCCTGCCTCCCACAGCCTGCTGGCAACTGGTCCTCTCCTGTCCATGTTAGGAGATGCTGAAAGCAAAGGTAAGTGAAAATCCTGCACCGAATGTGAAAATCTACTTACAACCTGAACTGTTGCCATGATTTATTCTTGCTAGGTAAATTTTAGCAGATGCAACGGAGCTATGGGGTAGTTGAAGGGCGAGATGCTGCACGTTACACTTATGCAATGAGCTGTCAAGAGATCCAGAACACCCTTTTCCAGAAAGCAACAAGAGAACAACACAGGGTCGAGTCCAAATTGAAGACCTTTACCTACATTCAGCCTCAGTTACTTAAAAAGGACCACGCTATGCCTAGAGCTTTGGCTTTCTTGTGCCATTTAAACTTCAACTTAAATACATGTAGAGAATCCACACTTGGGGGCGGGGGTGTACGTGCACATGTCTGCTTGTGCATTTGGGCGTCACTGAAGGCAAAGAGAGTAAATTCCCTTAGGGCAAGACTGGAATTTGTTCTTGACCATGCAGGCAGGTTCAAAGGCGGCTATCAAGTTAGCGCAAAATAACATACAGCGAAGAAGGACACCTTCAGTGTTGTATTCATGGAAAAGCAGGTGTCCAGAGCAGGTTCCTACCACTAGGGAAGCTTGTGGTCCCCAATATTTTTAACAAAAAATTTGTCTCTCCTTTGTCCCAGTGCATCCCCTCTAGAGACTGACCAGGAAGGAACAAGTGTGTCTCACCAAAGCACGTTAAAACCCTGTCACCCATCCTGGTCTCCTACAGGAGCTTCTGCCTTGCCGGCTCCTCATACATGGGGAAGTGCTGCTGAGGTTGGCTGTACACAGCGCTCTGTTGAGGGTTATAACGAGCGCTGTGCAGTGAGTTACACCAAACGCTGCTGGCTGGGCCTGCAAAGCATGACTGGGTGACAGCCTTAGGAGCAGCCAGTCCCAGCATTTCAAAGCGTGTTTAGGGTGAAGGGAAGGGACTAGTTGTCTTAATAAAATCCCACAGTGTAGTGCCTGGTAAAAAAACCCAGGAGTTAAGCTGCATCAGAGGACCAATGGCCTTAAGAGAGGAAAACTGGGGGAGGGAGTACAAAGCCCTGAGCTGTTAGAACAATGCTCACCCAGACAAAACACCTTTCCACATTCCTGCTTGATGCCTGAAGCACGCAGTGGCCTCCTTACTCATATTCTCATACTTTCTTTGCAGACTCCTTGGCTGCTGCAAATTACTGAAAGAAAAACTGTACTTGAGGGCATTAGCTGTTGAGAGATTTAAATCTATTTCCCATCTCAGTATTTACCAAGTCAGCTACTTTAAGATTTCCTTAAAAATAAAAACTTCCATGGCTTGTAATTAAAACATTATCAATATTTATTAATATTTAAAGGGTAGGTTAATGGATGATGTCATTTGCATTCTACCAAACTAAATCACATTGAAATGTAAGCGCACAGGCTGAAAATGCATTCTTCTGCTAAGATCTCTGAAGCTATACTGCTTATCTAACCGTGTTGGTGATGAGATTAGACACGCAGGCAGATGAGACTGCAGATTTGCTGAGCATGGAATGTAACTGAGCAAATAAGGTAAGAGATAAGGCTACCCAAAGCCTGACTTCACAACTCAAGGCCAGGGATTTCAGCTTGACCCACAGTTTGTTCAGTCATTTGCACAGGTGCAAAACACATCCCAAGCACAGCACATCTAACTTTCTTCCCTGTGGCAGACTTACAGGGACCAAAGAGCAGCGGATCCCAGTTGCAGGTAGCCCAAATGCTGATTCTTAACTTGCCTTTCTTAAACAGTTTCTATGGCATAACAGGCTTAAAACTGAACGGGCATATATATTCTCTGTTCTGTTTCGTAGAGCAGGAGTGGATGGCCTGTCACTTTGATGGTCTGCGCCCAAGCTTGCTTACCTTTCTCTCTCTCCTTCACATCTGTGTGACTTGACATCAGTCTTAAGCTCTTAGTCTGTCAGACTGGCTATAGAGCAGGTTAGTACTGAACTACTCCCCCAAAAGCAATCACTTCTGCTTCTATCTTCTTCCCCCCGTTTTTTTTTGTTTGGTTTTTTTTTTGTTTGGTTTTTTTTTTTTATTTCCCTGCGTTAGCACACTTGCCAGGCCCAAACCTGTCCTCAAACATTTACGTTTCCTCTAGGTAGTTCGCTGCTAGCAGGTGCTCCCAGCAATTCTAGGTGGTACCAATCAGATTAAATGCAGTTAAAACACCAGAGAAATTAAAAGGTGAGAAGGGACTTTCCCTGACTTCTCTGTCAGAGGGCATTGGGACTAGGTTTCTAACTGCAGGCTAGTAGGCATTTCCTTTAGCTTTATGAGTCAATTTAGGTTAACGTAGAGACTGTTCTCTTTTTATCTAAAGCGTAACTTGTGTGCAGCCTCTGTTTCTGGTTGCTTAAAGGAGCAAGTCCTGTGCTGAGGCAAGTTCAACATTCAAACGAGGTTACGAGTGAGCATGTAGTTGAAGAGGAAGGGTGCTTCTTTTCTCTTAGGTTAATATACATTTAAACTCATGAGCTGCTTTACACAAAGGAAATGGGCAGAACAGAGGAAAGAGGGGAAAGTATTGTTGGCAGGTGAACTGCGTGTTCTTATTAAAGCAATGGCTACTTTCACAGGGTGAAAAATGGCTATGCAAAGAATCTGCCTCCAAAAGTTCCTGGTGGCAGCATGTGCTGCCAGTTCCAAAACCCAAAATCAAGCTCCTGGAGTACTGCAGGTACCATCTTATACATGTTTGAGAAAGGAAGAGGGTGTGAGAGCAGAGGGGGGACGTAAGCGTTTCTGTACAGCCGCACCACTTGGACTCTACACAGAAATAGCGGAGTCGGTGCCATAAATTGATTTCAGTTTATGTATCTGCAAATATTTACCTTTACTGCAGCTAAAAACCTGTCCAAAAGGCTGATGGCCAGGGCAAGCGTTTCTGGATAAAGGTGGAACTGGTATTTGAGCTTGGCCAGCCACTGAATGACCTCATCCCTCTGCTTTGGAGAAATGGCTACATCCTGTTGGAGAGAAAAACAAACTATGCTTATACACTGGCTGAGCAAGTTAGAAAAGACCAAACATTTTATATCTCCGCAGGAGTTATTTGACAGGGGAACAAAGCCTCCTTTGGAAAGGGGAGGCCTTGAGCTAGCCTGAATCACCACTTTGTTCTTGCAGGTACTTACCCCATCCGAAGACATCTGCCCTGGAAAAGACAACTTTCCTTAAAGCTACCTCAAATGTCACTCCAAAATTTCACTGTACATTGGGGAAAAGAGGAAGGATGTCTTGTAGTTCCTCAAGTATTGACAGGGTATTCTCCAGCATAGCTCTAAGGGCTTTATTATTTTTTTTTTATTTCCTTAGAACCATGTAGATAGACAGAAATGCCCAGCTTGAACAAAACAAGACGTGCTTTGGGAGCCAGGTGGCTGTACAGCTCCTGCCAAACAGAAGAAGGGAAGGACCGAGTCGGTGTTTGAGAGGAAAACTTTATTTTTCCTTCAAATTACAGGGACATTTTTAGCTCAGTATATGTTAAAAAGAGAAAATTCCAAACAGCTTACAAAAGACCTGTAGCAGTACAGCTAACTGTGAACTGGGGTAAAGCAGGTACAATTCCATCTGACAAAGTTTGGGTTTGGCTTTTTAGTTTTAAACTTTTTGGCTCAAATCTCCACCATTGATCAGTTTGGACAACAGCTGAATTTTAACCATACATACAGATCAGTCATTGACGTAAAATCTTTCTCTCTGACTTTCTTCAGAAGTATTTATAGCTTTTCTAGAGCCTTTCAATTCAACAGGGATTATGCAGGGTGATTAGCAAGGATGTGTCCAGAAGCAAGAAGTGAAACCAAACAAATTTATTCTGCGACGTTTAGGGTCCCTGGGCTCTTTTGGCTACTGCTGAGGTGGTGCAAGAGAATGAAACCGAATGAAACGCTGGCTGACCAGTGACTGTGGAAAAGAAAGCTAAGGGTTTATGCAAACAAACATCACTGCTGGGCTGGGTTGTAGCTGTCCTCCCAGCAATAACACGGGGTGGGGAAAGTAGCAGCATTTTAGAAAATAAAACCACCCAACACTAATGCAAAATAAATACCTCAGGCTACATCTATCACCGGGGTCCCTACTGTCTCCTTTGCGTAGACAGTAATGTGCTTTTTTACAGGACTACTGACTCTCCTGCCCGGGAGTCAAGAACATGTGTGAAAGCAGAGTGTGGTAGGCAGAACTGTAATTACACAAGGGCCTCCATGAGGATGCCAGTTTTAGACCTTTCACTGCTACGTGCTGTATGACACCTTTACTCTCTGCTAAACTTCCTTACTAGTGCTGAGTTCCACCTTCACCACTGAGTGGGACAAGAAGGGGCAGGGAAGGTAGCTGGGCTCGCGCCCCAGGGCTGAATTCTGGGCTCTGTGACAGTGGGTGTGCAGCCGGTTACTGCTGCTCACAGACGTGCGTCCTGCCAAAATGCGGCTGCCCAAGTCCCTTAGAAAAAGTACAACGGTAACAGTGCTACGGTAGCAGGGATCCGGTCTAAAGACAGAGGGTTGTGCAAGCCAAAGGTGTTTCTTCCAGCTGTACGAGCTGGGCTGATGAAGTGATAGTACCTGTGCCTTCAGTGCTGTATCAGGTGCTCCCCTGAGGAGAACAAAGTCCTGCCTTGTTTTCTCTCCTGAAGCCCCGAAGGTGCAACAGCGTCAGCAGGACTGTGTCCGACCCAGATGGGCCTCTGGTATCAGCTGGGACCTCTGGATGCCACTTGACTATAAGTGGGGCTTTTTAAAAAGCACCTACCATTTTTCAGGAGACAAAAGAAAATTGGTTTTCTCAGTCCCCCAAAATAATGATTCTTTCTGAAATCGTTATTGCAATTTAAGGGTGAAACCTGAGCCCCACCAGGGGCAGGACACCCCCTGTCTGCAACACGTTGCACTCGTTACAGAAATGCTAGTTTGACGTGCCTTGGGAGCATCACGAATGCACCACACAGCAGTAAGAACTTTATTAAATGATCTGCTAAAAACATCTTTCGGACAGCGGGATAGGGACCTCGAATGTATCTGGGGAGAAAAAAGGGTAACGCTATGTTAAATACTGGCTGCCCTTTCAGAGCATACTTCTCCTGTAGCAAAGCGAGGCCTGCACAGCTGAACCTAAAACAGGCAGAAAAGCTGGGGAGTGCTAGTTAAGATGAAGTTCCTTAGTGCCTTATTCATTGTGCCTGTTTTTAAGTGGAAGGAGAAAAAGCCATAGAAAAGGGCTTATAACCGTAGCCAGGTCTGGACAGAACTGTGGGCTTAAAATGTTTCTAGCAGCTTAAGGGATTATTTTGGAAATGCAGTATCTGGGTGAATCCAGCAGGTAAGCTTTGTGCGTACCTGCTACAAGCCAACCTGAGACCACCCCATCAAACAAAGTAAACTTGATTTTAAAAACCTGCCTCTGACTCTTTAAATCACTGCCCTGGTCCTGCTGCAGCAGCTTTACTGGTGAAGGCAGCAGCAAGGGTCTTGGGCCATTGGTGGGCAAGGAGGGAGCTGCGCCATCAGTGCTCTATCGACAGGGCAGCAGACTCCATCTCCTCCGCGTTCCCTCCTGCAATCTGTTGCGTTTCTTGCTGGGGAGGCAGGGCCATCCCTCAGCAGCATGGGGGGATTTCTCCTGTCCCCTTCCATTCCTGGCAAATCCCATTGCTGCTGGATCCTGGCAGAAACGGGCATCAGCTTTGACAGTTCCTGGCTGTGTCTGTCCTGGCCCAGCGCTGTTTTCCCTGTGCCTGCCAAAGGAAAAGGTTAGGCCTTCTCCTAAAAACAGCATGGGTGGGAAGGGCAAGATCATCTTTCCATACTGCCTCTCAGTCTTCAGTCCTCCCAAGATGTGTCCTTGTATCTTCTCACCCTTCAGGGGCAGTGCAAGGCCAAAAGGCAAAGTTTCAGACTCCGGAGTTAGCTTTAAACAGCAAGGCTGTAACATAAAGAATAGCAACTGCATGCTCAGCCCCTGGGAACAAGTATCCTTTCCAGGTGAAAAAGAAATGGTGTTTAATCTAAACCGCTGAAAAACAACAGTGTATCTAAGTAAGATAAAAAATTAAAACAGGAAAAAACCCAGCCCCCACACAGAGCACCCTGTTTCTTTAATATAAAGGAACAACTGCAAAGTGAACTCACATCTAGGTATATGCATGGCAGAAGTAAGGCTTCAAAATAAAATCTGGCTGCTTAAGAACTATCTGGGGAAGCAAAGGAAAGGAGGCAAATCTCCAGCTCTTTCCTGCAATAACACCAACCCTACAATAAGTTTGTCTACTCCAGTCGCTAACTGCAAATAAAGGAGCACAAGGGCCAGGGGGAGAATTCCCTCACAGGGAAAGACCAGGTGAATTTAAACCTCCTCCCATCAGCACCAGGCCCATTTTAAGAGTCGGGCAAAAGGAATGAGAACTGGTCCACTGCACCCGCAAATTCTGCTGCTACCTGCAAGCAGGGCAAGGAGCTTCCCACACAAACATGTTGGTCTCTATCCCTCTCCCTCGAAGGTGTAGCTATGTCATCCTAGTAACACAAGTAAGAAATGCAGCGCTGTAAAATTAATTAAGCAGTGAGGTCGCTGTTCCGTAGTTATATAAAACCAAAAGCAAAACTGAGACACTAGGGTGGCTGAAAGTAAAAAAAGTCCCTTTGGGCTGGAAAGCAAATGTTACTCTTTGGTGTGGAGGTAGTTTCCCATAGACATCGCCTTCTGCCACTCACCCGTCTGTGTGTGGCCAGCTCTTTGTTTTGTCGCCACAAATCCACCGATGCAGGACTGAAGCCCTGGGGTGGAAGAGCATGCTAGCCTAGCGTGACAGCTTTAATTAGGGAAAAATTAACCCAAGCCCAGCAATGGCTGACTCTGTTTTCACACGGCAGCAGCAGGCTGCTCCACGACAGACCTAACCACTGCCCTCAGGACTGAAGGACAATCCATCTCCTCTGGCTGGTGCTTTCCCCACCCCCCTCTTTTTTTTTTGGAGGGGAGGCCAGATCAGAGCAAGGCCCGATCTACAGATCTGGTTGCCCGTCCCACCACCAAAGGTTAGCAGATGTGGGTGGGACTCCTGCCGTCAAAGAAATGACAGGGCTCCCAGCTCTTCACCGCAATCACCACCAGGATCAGGCACCTGACGCAACGCAGCCCTACTCACTGTGTGCCGCTGCGGGTGCCCAGCACCCCCAGCTCCTGCGGGGGGGACCATGTTACCTGCCCCCCCCACACGCACCCCCCAGACATCGCAGAGCGAGCCCGCGCAGGTGCCGGAGTGCTTTTCTCTGGACTGGCGCCCACACAGATATTTGCAGGAGCAGGAAGCCAGCGGGCAGCTGCGTGGAGCATGAGGGATTTCAGAACTGTTTTGCTACGCGGGAAACACCCCGCGGAGCACAAGCAGGACTCTTGCAAAAGTGCCTGACAGAGTTTTACTGTGAGCGAAGAGACGCAGGGCTGCTGCCGCACCGCCTTAAGAGTAACTTTTACCAACTGCCCTGCATGCCGCTTACAGCCGTTTGCTCACAGCTATCTCTTGATCTGCCTTGTGCTTGGGACTGACGGCGACGTGTAACGTGGTAGGCGAAACGCTCCAGCGGAGTGCAAGATCAACCACCGCTCCTTTCCTCCCTTTCCATCCTGCTTAGTCCTGCTTGGCACCTCCATAAAATAAGAGAAGAGGTTTCCGCAAGTCTTTTCCACCTGCGGAGCACACAAACACCTCCACCCATCGGGAGGCCAGCGAGAGCAGTGGACGCAATGGTGCGCACAACAAGCCCTGCCGGTATGAGCTCAAAACGCGATACCCAAAGAACGCAACAGGCCTGTCAGATGTGCAAACCTATCAAAGCTATTCCAAACCCATGTGTGAGCAACAGACCTGTATCTTCTTTTCCAAGTGGAAGACGCGATGCTAATTCCCACATTTTCAAAGCACAACAGTGTGTGTAAACCCATTAGTTTTGTTTCAGCACAAACACATATAAGCCACCTCACAGGAACTATGGAGCTAATGGAATGTGTTTGGGACACAAATGGGGAAGCGGAGGGGTATCAACTTCTCTCTCTTCCTCGTGTAAAGCAGGGGTACATCACATTGACCTGCTTCCTGCCATTATTTGCTTGATTCCTTATCAAGAAATACCCCGTCTGTCACTTAGTCTATCGATGAACATGCTGTCAAGCAAACAGGAAGCTTCTGTGAAGGATTCCTGATGGGTATTTTAAATAACACAATAAGAGACCAGTCAACATGCCAGGACTGCAGGCGACTACACCAAGTAACGGCAGCGCCACGCTCACCGTGTCTGTCATTTTACCGCTCCAAAGTGAGCAACCACAGAGGTCTGTAATTCTGCCCAAGGGAGGGAATACAGTGGCCCACACAAAACACACAGACCCGAGGCCTCCAGCATCTACGATGGGTAGTACCTTATTTGTCCAATTCCCAAATCAGTGCCCCAAATCCCATTTCTTCGGCATGCTGGCAGAAAGCTGCCTGTGAGGCCTTGGCGATGGTGAGAAGCGCACAGAGCTGCTGTTCTGCTTCCCGCTTACCAGCAGCCGCATCGCCTCGTTACCGTCCCTGACCTGGCAACCCTGCCGCAGGGCCCGCTGCACGCTTGCTGTGTGAGACGGGAGGGACGGAGGCCATGACTCAGGTGCCAGGGAGCGAGCACAGTACAAGAGATCTCTAAGAATACCTTGAGACTTCTGGAAAATGCAGTCTAAAAAAAATATCTGTGAACTCAAACATGACTCGATTTTATTGCTGCCTAATCTAGGAAAAACACCTTACCTGTCAATTTTTTTTCTTTAATGTCTGCTGTCCCAGGCAGAGATGTTTTGCTCTTTCCCCTATTTGTTTCTGCCTAGTCTCACTGTGGGCTCCTTGGGGAGCAAGCAGGTGACCTTTATCAGGACTGGGAGGCTTCTGAAAAGGGCAGCTGTAAACATCGCAGCCAAATCGGTCCTTCCTTGGGTCTCAGGATTGCTTGTTTTACACCTGAGCGACCCCCAACCGAGGCCCACTGGGTTGCTTCTCACTTGTACCTGTTGAGAATTAGAGGTGCTCTCCTGATAGCTTTCAGAGGTGACGTTTTGCAGGGTTTGCCTACGGTTTAGCGGCCCAGCAAACAGCTCAAGCAGCACAGCCTCTGCCATCTGCACGGTAACACGCACAAACACTGGGGAGAGAGATTACTGCTCGGCAAAGCAGAAGAGCTGGATGCATTAACTTCACAACGTTTTACAAAATTGGTAAGTCAGTCTCCGATTCACCCGCAGGATAAAACAGGCACCAGAAGGTTAAAAGACTGACCCAAGGTCATGTGGTGAGACAGTGGAAAAACTGGAAATAAACTGAGGTCTCCTGATTCCTCAAGAGGTACAGAGAACAAATGAGAAGACAGAAAGAAAGAGCCAGAACAGGCAAGAAAGGAGAAATTACAGAAGTGACACTCTGTTTCTATAAAAAATTAAAACCAAGAATCTTGACTTACACACCTCTCTGCTGCAAAGTTACTTGGTAACATGCAAAGATCAACCTTTGACCAGTTTTTACTGCTTGATTTCTCAAGCCTTAATCACATGAAAACTTCTGAATGTCATCTGCATATTGTATAACCCAAGAGGGGAAAAAAAAAAAAAAGACCAAATACATTCAGAAGCACAGGGAGGGTTCCAGACTCAGCCCACCTATTTTTTCAGACTGAAAAGCCCTTGTGAGAGCTGGCTTTGATATATTGCAAATACCTGGAGCCAGTGGCCTACATTTAAACGAGGGAAACAAAAGAAATTACCTGCCAGTAGGAAATGGGAGTTTTCAGACAAAAAGTAAGAATGAAACAGAAAAATCACATACTTTAAATTATCAGGACCAAAGTCCCCAACAGATTCTGCATCCTGTACTAAAAATGTAAAGTCTTCCTGTTTCTGTAACTACAAGTTTCTTTCTTCCTTTCAAAGATCTCAACTCTGACACACATTTAGAAACGGAATTTGTTCCAGTTTTAAACATTAGAACCAAAAATGTCTCCTAAAGAGTCAAAACTGAAAGTTTACTCCTGAAAATAGTTACGGTATATCTCCAATCTGATCATTAGATTTTTGTAGACGCACTCACATTTTCTCATTTGCAAACCAGATGACTTCATTAAAAGCCCTTCTGTAGTCAGTCTACTTTTGTAGCAAGGAATGGAAAGTTACACAGGCTTCAGGTTGCCAGATCTGATACACAGAAGGATGCAGATTTCCTGACTGTCATGGGAAATAAACAACAGTTTCATACAAGTGAGGTTTTAGGCTACTGCAGCTGCTTTCAGAAGAAGGCAGTAAATGTTAGGGAATATGACCTTCTTCCAGATATTACAGAAAACAGGATAATTCACACTGAATGTCCATGACTGCAACACTGCCAAAATGAATGCTGCAGAAAGGGGGGAACACGTGACCATTTGAAAAGTTGGGTGTCACTAACTGCAGGAACAGAGAGAAATACGTGACTACAGATCCAGGGTTTTCAGCTGCACCGTGGCATTGCAAGTCAGGATTTCCCCAGAGCAGACAGTTGTGTTTATGTTCTCTTTTAAATCTGACCTTCGTACATTTTACACACGCGCACACAGAGATTTCAATCCAATTCAAAGATTATTTACTGCTAGCAAACATTTAATAGCACGGCGTTGTAGCTGATAAAGTCGATGTCTGAACTGACATGTAGGAAAATATAAAGGAAAAGGTTACACAGACAACAGAGTTTTGGGGGTGGAAATTCCAGGAGTAGAAACCCTAGGGGACAAGCAGAGGGCCAGGAAACACTCCCAAGCACGGACCTCAGCGATACTGTCGTAGTGCAGGGCAGGAAGGGGGGAAGAGATCCTTCATCATCATGACATATTTGCACACTAAAAGGACAAACTTGTCTTCGTCCAGGCCTGACCTGAGACTCTGCTATCGAGCACAAACTTTACACTGGCTTTAGCCATCAGGCTGTTTCCATACTTGATCCTACTCCCGACTTTTCACAGCAGGCAACAGAGCTGCCTGCCCGGTTTCACAATCGGCAGACTGTCAAAAGTCCCGTTAACTTCTCTGAGTATCTACCGCTGAGGACAACACTTCGCAAGGTGCTGCAAACCTCAACCGCAGGGCCATTAAGACCCCCTCAAGGTCCCTGGCAGCAGGACAGCTGTTCTTCACCACACACAGGGCTGAGGTTAGTCCTTCTGCTGCAGCGACAACTTGAACGTGGCACAGGTGGGGAACCTCATCTTCAAAGGGCAACAACGCAGTCCCGCAAGGGAAGGATTGCTGGGAAAACCGTCTAATGCAGGTGGTGGTTTCTGAGCCGCCGGAATCAACTTCACCAAGGCAAAAATGCAAGCGCCTTGTCCCTGTGAAATCTCCACACAAGAATCTGGTTTGGCTACACTCTCTGAGTCCCTAACCTATCTTGTTATACTGTAATCTTACCTCCCTACGTTATAATCACTAACCCCAGGAATACTGCCAGCATGGAATAACAGGCTGGTTTACCATAAACCAGGGTCTTAAATTGTATGTGCCCGAAGACAGCCACAGCTACAATATACACAACGCCTTGGACAACCAGATCACTTATTTGGAAACCTAAATGTGGATTAACAAAACTAATACTGAGCCCCTTAAAAACATATTTGTTTGTACACAACAACAGCAGTTTCTTGTTCGCCAGACAGAAAAAACAACCACCACACCGATTAGCTTTCACAACAGCTGACACACTTGCGTGAATATTTTATATGAATCAAGAACAGCAAGACTCGATCTGAGCCCTTTAGTGTGGTTATTTCTGCCCAACCCAGTGACAAAGTACCAGAAACTCTGTGACAACCACCCTCACATTTCAGATTTTGTTTTAAACAAAACTTTGTGGAGTTCACAGGCATTTTCAAGTGCACATGCTAGACAGGCGCCTCCTCCGCAAGGAGCACAAACACAATCCAGGCTGGGTAAGACCATGAGCGACCTGGTCCAACCTCCCAGCTGGCTGGCCCTGCTGCAAATCTTGAGCAGGAGGTTGGACTACAGACCCCCTGCGGTCCCCTCCACCCTGAATTGTCCTCCAGTCCTGTGAGAACATTCCTCGCTGGAACAGGCCAGCGCCTGGCTCTGCTTCCCTTGACACGAGCTTGCACCCTGCTCCATAAATAGTCCCATTACAGTCAGTGGGGTTCTTTCTAAAGTAGACAGTGCCTGAGCACATCAGATCCTCATCTGGCTTCAGCCGATACAGCTACAGCCTACCCTGCAGAACTAGGCTGATTTACAGTAGGGAAGAATCTGGCCCAGAATGGGAAAAAGGCGGCAAAGTCAGGCTTTCGCTGTGAATATGCTGTTTCAGGGGGAGGCCTGAGCTAAGCTAGCGGCAACGGTTTATGTGAGAAGACGTCATTTCATGTGGAAAGCAACCAGCATTTCAACGCTGTTATTAGTGAACTTAGTCCAAGAAAATGAAGCTGCTTTTAAGAACTGTTGCAGAGTTGGTACCCGCTAGAAATGTGCATTAATTATCCATGCAATTTGTAAAACGAATTTAATTAAGGCAATATACGTACATGCTTTCACAAGCAACAGCAGAGATCTAACATTGTGTGCTGTACAGTGTGTTCTGTACTCCTGTCCCTCAAATAAAAAAGTAATCACTGACTTCAGAGGCTGACTTCCCAGGTCTCAGGCAGAAGGTAACTTCTCATGCAACAGCTTCAGTGGTTCACATAAAAATACACCAGAGGATAGTCTCATGCCTTTACCAAGATGAATGATGTGAAGAGGAGACATTACCTGATTAGGCTGAATTTTCGGCACATGTGCTTTCCACATTTGAGCTTCCCTAGAGATTGCCGTCTCCAGGAGGAGAGACAACCTCTGGCTCTCCAGGGGTCCTGAAAACTTCATGGTAACCCTTGGATCCACCTGCCACCCAGCTGGATACAGCTACCTGCAAAACCAAAGACAGCCTGGTGAAACACTGAGCCGTGCCTGTCAGCTAAACTGAGCAAAAGAAAGCACAAAGGAAACTAAAGCTGCAAGAAATGGAACAGGCTCATCTGTAACAGACAGCGATCGGGTATTTGGCAAACCTACCCAAGGAAACCCAAACCAGTCGGCTCAGATTCAGATGAAGCTGGGCCAAAATTGTCCACAGGCCTCCAGCACCTACATGGGCTGCAGAGCCCTGCCACTTCGAGGTTTTCTGCTTCTCTGTTATGTAGACAATCAGGCAAGACCTCTCCTGCTTCAGCAGCGCTAAAAAGTAGGGCTGTTTTATGAAAAAATACTTGAGAAGAGGGGAGAGCTGTATGGCAAACATAAAGGAGATTTCAGTTAAGTTGGTTGCTCTGGCTGAAATCTTGCTGAAGTTAAAACCAATCTACCTGTGACTTCAAGGCAAGTAAAGACTGACATTCAAACACTTTTCAAAAATCCCACCCTCAGAATCTGGTTGGTACCAGCCTTACCCCAGTACTCTCTGCAGCAACAGGAAGTTCTGTGCAAAACAGAGGAACGCTTGTTTGAGAATTTAAATGATTTACAAGCTGAAGCCCGGCAAAAAGATCAACGTTTTCCCTCTCTGCACAGTATGGTTTTTAGCTTCTCACAGAACCTGCGACCCGTTTCATGTGCAATGCAAATGTACCAGGGAGTTCGGGATGGTTCCTCTCGGGTCTCATCACTCCGAAAATATGTTAGATCCACAAAACTTTAGGGCACATCTCTAATTTTAGATAGGAAATGAGTTTTAAAGGAGGAAAAAAAGCAGCAAACCCAGTGACAGCCTTTGCTAAGCATGAATTGACTACAAGCCAGGTAAGTGATGGAGAAAATTTCTGCAAGGCATACAATATTCAGAAACGCTTGCTTCCACTGGCAGAGGCAATGATAAAAAGCATGCAATTTAAAGCAAAACACTTTGCTATACACAAAACAGAAAAATGGGGGTTCTCCTGGTCCTAGTGCAGCCTCCCTCAGCAGTAACAATATGTCAAGAAAGAAACTTGTAAATTTGAAATGAAAAACAAAGCAGAAGCAAGATTTTTTTTTTTAACTTTTTTTAAAGACAACAAATTCCACCACCTGCTTGCAAATGAAGAAGATGATCTGATTGAAAAGGTTATTCAAATTGTTCTGTTACTGCCTACCATTACTCTGGCCGCAAATTTCTTGACAGTATTAAATCACTTACTTAGGCAAAACAATTCAGCCCCGAAGGGTAAATCCATGGGAAAGTTATTTAAACTTTCAATTCCTTCTGTGAGCTCTTGCGAAATCCACAACAGGTGGATATTGGCCAAACACTAACCAGGCTATTTTATAAAGACCAGTTTGTTAATACAACAGTTTATGCTGTATTTACAGGAAATAAGGCAACATCTTGAATCAGAGAAAATAAACAAAATTCACAGTGAAAACAATCAGTTTATTATGAATAATAACAACAGCAGCTCTGAACAAACGAAGATTCAGAGTGCTTTCACAGAGTTAAGGGAAACTAGAACAAATTTTTTTTTTTTATCAATTTACAGGAGTTTTTAATGGGTGTGATTCACACAGAACCTGCACGAGGCATAAAACCGCACTCCAGTCCCACTTACAGCCAAACAGGTTTGAAGTGGCAAATAAATGTCAAGCCTCTCAGTCCTGAACAGAAACCCCTTTTATATTAGATTCTTATAGAACAAATGCTTCTCCACGAACAAAGGAGAGGCTGTACTGGCTTGGCATACCCCTACACAAGGTTTCCAGCCCGTCACTGCAATGACCCAAGGTGACTTGGGCCATATACTGACTTTCCAGCTGGAGGGAACACCTTGGACTGAGGATTCCTGAGCTGGGTCAAAATGCTTTGCAGTGTGTCTCAAAATCACTTCCCACCAGCCCCCAAATGCCTAACTGAGTATCACTAGGGACTGAAAAATCTCTGTTAAAAGTTCCTCACTTCACAAGAGGGAGATTCAGCCTGGGAATAGATGAAACTCTGTTCTTCTAAACAGAACCGTGGCTTGAACCGCAGCTTATTTATGTGCATTTACTAATTTTTGCATTTCTTTTTTAAACTTCGGGGTGATCCTGATGACACTCATACCACTGTAAATGGGGCTGCTGAAGGTGAAGGGGAGAAACACGCACATTCACAGCCTCCCCCCCCCCCCCCCCCCCCCCCCCCCCCGCCCCATCCCAGCTCATTCTTATGGGGGCGGGGTGGGGGGAGCTTCATTAGCATCTCATTATCTTCCCATCAGACACTACAGGTTTCAGCGTGGGCTGGGCTGGTTCCCAAAGGCCGTATCACCCACCATTTCCAGAGCCATCAGCGCTTCCAAAGGAGGTGTAAACCCCTAGGAAATGAGGACAGCAGTGATGAGGGCTGCACCCCTGCACTGATGGAGAAAACCAGTTCAAATTGCAGGTGCAGGTAAAATATTTTCTCCCATCTGCTGTGCAGGGGCGGGGGTGGGGGGAGCATCCAGCAATCAAGGGTTGAGCTGGGGGACCCCACATCAGGGAGTCTAGCCTTCCCACCTTGCAACTCAAGAGTCCCAGAAAAGGGGTTTCTCCAGACCTATGCAGAGCAAAAGATGGGTGATTTTTTATTTATTTAACTGAGCCTGTGGACTGTCAGTTGCTATGTGCCAGGTAATGCTAACTGGGTAACATCCACCAGGGTATCAGCTACAGTCTCTCAGACCGCACCTGCAGAAGACGGCAATTAATGGTGCGTGCGAGTGCTCGGCGTTGCACGAGGTGAAATACACGCATGGAGAAAAACGGCGAGGTTTGACCAGACCCAAAGCTCGTCCAAGCCAGTGGAGAGGCCAAAGCCAGGGACCAGTGCTGAGCACCGAAAGCCAGGAGATAGTGAGCTCCTTGCTGCACACTTGTCAGAAAAAAAGCAATAGCTATATTTAGCCCGACCACATCTCCTAATATGACATATTGATGGTCCCTTTTTGGTTTTGCAGGAAAGAGAGAGTAATTAGCCACCCCTCAAATCACTGGAGAAAACACATGAAAAATTTCAGGCCAAATTGAGCATCCTCAGGCACCTTTTTTCTTCCTATGACTGTATTTACAACACAAATGGGTTTCACAGGCCTCTGGGCCCAGAAAAGATCTTTTAGTTACCCTGATCCCTTTTTAGGTTGTCCCTGTAGTGCCTCAGCCCATCAGTGGCCCCAGCAGAGAGCTCAGGGGAGTCCCTGGAGCACCCTTAAATACCAATGGCCCTGCAAGGGACATTTTTAGTGAGCAGTGATGGCGACTCTTCTAGAGTTGCCAAGGGGAAAAGAGAGGGAAAAATAACCTTTCCTTTCTGAACTAGGGGGGTAATTCAATGAGAGCTGAGGCACAATAACCTTTATAAGGAAAAAAAGAAAAGGAATGACGTGCTTGAAACTTTCCCTTGGAGCAACAGTGGTGTGCAGACTTTTCCAGCACCGAGAGCACGCCAGGCAACTTGCCAAGCACCCCGAGGGCTGAAACAAGTTTGCATCTAAATTTAGATAGCTTTTAATCAGATAAATGCACGCCATTTTAAAAAAATGCCAGCATGCTCTACGTGTATGCAGTGCTTCACAAAACACAAGGGAGCCACTGCAGAGCTTGGAGAAGATGAGAAATGGGATGGTCGGCACAGCTTCCCGAAATCCAGTGCATGGAAGCCGGATGAAGACCATGGAGAGACCCGACTCTCTTCTCTCTGCTCAGATCAAGATGATAAAACTCAAGCATCGCAGAAAAGCAATGTCAAGGCTCCCATCAGCAGTAAAGATACTTGTCAACGTAGCAGGCATCTCTGCAGAGAACAGCAGTACCAACAGGAGAGCTGAGCCTGCCCTGACAGCAAAGATTTGCTCCAGCCAAAAACTTGCAAGCGTTTTTCTGTGACGGAGCCCAAAAGACCCATGGCGGGAGGAACTGCCGAAGCTGTGACAGTCACCATAAACTAACTCGCCCTAGCTTTCTGTTTCTGCTTCCCTGAGTTAAAATTAAACTTTAGCTCCAGGGTGGTGCGGGGGTTTTTTTTCTGTGGTCACTTTGGAAGTTTTTAAACCACTGTTCATACAGTTCCTAAAGTTTCTTAATCTTCACTGGGAGATCAACTGTCTACCCTGAAACTTCTGAAAGAACAGCTGGAACGTCAGTAAAGGACAAGTGAGCCAAGTCAACGCATTGGCTTTGTTTTGACGTCTCCTGTGAGCAAGGTCACAAGCTGCAGGTTGAATCTTGCTCTGAAATTAGAGAGTCAAAACTTTGGTGTGAGGTTTTCACTTGTGAGAGGCATTAAAAGTCACCTGCTTATCCATTAAAAATACCCCGACTTGGTCCATAAAATGTAACCCATCTCATATAAAGATCTCCCTTTTTGATTCAAGTTTATAGCTAACTTTACTTAAGGAGGTACTTTCAATTTCCGTAGAGAAGTTTTACACTGCTAAGTGCTGCAGGCTATGGTTTTCAAAAGCATTTTCGTGTTTGCAGTAATTGAGGCAGACAGCGACCTAGCCAGAAACACTTTTTCATTTGGGGAGGTGTGCATTTGTGTAGGATGCAAAATAATCGATTTTTTTTTTTTTTTTTTAGGCTTTGTAATGACTTGCACTGACAATAAAAAGTGCCTCTTGCAGACAGAAGATGCAGTTACAGGAATGTATTATCCACTGGCAGAATAAGCTCGTAACACAGCTACTGATTTTCCCCTGCCTCCAGTTGCAATTCAACTGTGCCAATACAACTGTACTGTAAATAGAATCACTGAAATCATTCAGGGCAATAATAAAAACCTTTTTTGTTTTGGTTGTGGGTTGTTTTGGGGGGGTTTGTTGTTGTTTTTTTTTTTTAAATATAGATCATTTCATAAACAACTGACAAGATTTCTAGGACTAGAGACAGCCTAAAACGCGCTATCCTTATTCTGCGCATAAATCCAGGTGGGTGTTCTGGACAAGAGGGACAATTCCAATAGAGCTTAACCACCACATGCATTTCTGCAGACCTTGTAAGTATTTTCAGTG